GGGGGGGGGGGGGGAGAGAAGCTCCGTGTTGAAATAAGCACCAATGATCACCTTTTTACAGCTAAGATCCAGCATTGGTGTTTATAGGTGGACACCTGATTATTCTTATGCATTTTGTTGATTAGGCACGGGTACAATATGCTATCTCTTATGTGTAAGTAAATTGCAAAATACACCTTTTAATTAAAAATAGAAAGAAAGCATGCAAGAACCAAAGTCTCTTAAAAGGCTACCCTTAATAGCAACTCTAAAGATTCAAGCTCCCGATTGACTGATTCAATTTTTAAAAATCCATTTCAATGGGCTCCACTAACTTCTTTTTATAAAAACATGAAATTTCTGACTTTAGAGCCCTCCAGCAAAAATCAGGGGCTTGCTTTTTGTTTTCACTGGGCAAATGGATGCTGAGAAGAAAAACTGGGAAAATATATGAGAAAGAATTCCTCTTCAACCGCCCACCAATTAATTTTCTGATTTTTGAAGCAATAGCAGGGTTTTTTAAAAGCATCCGCTTTGGAGGTAATCTAATCCGGACTTGAATGCCCCTCCAACATTTTCTTATTAACTCTTAGCTCATCTTTAAAACAGCGATAACATCGACCTCGTTGTTGGGACGATTAAATTGGGTAATGTTTGTAAAACACACAACACAATGCCTAACTTATCATTAAGAGGAACCTGGGAGCGATAACCCAATTCTCTAAATAATATAGAAGCTCCAAATAGCTGAGCGCGTTACACCTCTAGAGAGTTGACTGAGGCCTAGTTAGCAGGGTGTCAAGGGCCCTAAATTAGCAGCCAGGGGACCAGCAAGGCTTCCTTGGCAGACACCTTCCATACATACTTCAGCCTTTTCATCCACAAAACCGGGGTGGATGAAAAATTCAGGCTATGAATCGGCCCTCCTTGAGTCCCAGGCTTGTTGGGAGGATCAACGGGGCAAGCTGCGTGAGCACGCCGGGACGAGTCCCATCCGAGAGGTGCCAGGGATCACACGGGGGACCCCGGGCCACGGCGGCGGCCGCTCTCGCCCCGATGGCGGGCGGGCATCTGCCAACGTGAGCCTGGCTGGCGTGAAGGCCTCCGATGCTCCGGGACCACGCCCTGCCTCGCACGCGCGCTGTCTGGCTTCGCCGAGGCCCATTGAGGGACAGAGCGGGGAGGAGGAGGGAACAGCGCCCACCAGGGAGCACGGGGATCTCCAAGCGACAGGATGCACCCAACAGTGGCCTAGCGGGGGGATCAGGCTCTTCGCAAACCCTCACCCCAACCGGACGCCCGCGCCTCCCCGAGGAAGGGCCAGAGCCGCGCGGCGGGGCGGGCGTGCGGGGACCCCTCCAGCCCCCGCCAGACCCGAGCGCAGGCCCGGGACCTCGCCGGCCTTTCTGGGTCAGCAGGGAGGCGGCGGGAAGAGCCGGCTCGTAACGGGCCCGGGGCTCCCACGGGCGCGCAGGGGGGGGAGGCCCGCGCGGGGAGAGCGCGCCCCGGCGGCGGGAGGCCGCGCACGCACATAACGGGGCACGGAGCCGGACCTCACCCAGGATCTGCTGGCGCCGATCGGCGTGGGGCTGGTCGGTGTAGACCCACTCGAAGTCTTCCCGCGAAACGCGGTTCCCCATGGCGGCGACGGCAGCGGCGGCGACTTGCAAACCCGCTCCTGGCTCTCGCTCCCGGCCCGGCTCCTCCGAGGCGGCAGCAGCGGCGGCAGCCGGGTCCTCGTCAGCGGGCTGCAGACTGAGGGGAGGCGCTGACGGAAGTGGGGGCGGAGTCACTAGGCCCCGCCCCGGCCCCGCCCCCAGCCGCGAGGTGCGTGACCCGGCCCGCCGCCCCGGGTCGGGGGTGCGCGGCGCTCCGGGGACCCCTCCCGGTGGTGGGGTTGCGCCGCTCAGTGTGCGGGGCTCTGGGTTCTGTGACCGGGCCACCAGCTGGGCAGCCGAGTTCCTGCGAGTCCCGGCACCCTCGGGCCTGTCCGGCCCGGTGCCCGCACCCGAGCCCGGGAAAAGGTGAAAAAGGCAGGAAAGGTCTTAAGTTCAATGAGGCTCCGCTTTAGCGCTTCCGGGAATGCTGGCGCTCAGGCACGAGGATCCTTGGTCATTAGTAAGTGGCCCCTAGCCCAAGTTTTCATTTTGAGAAGTAAATAATTCACTGAGCCATGATGTTGGCTGCCTCCTGGAAATAACGTCTCAGCCAAAAATGCGGAGTGTGTGGCAATTAAAACCGTTTAGGAAAAAGGAAAACACGATCGTTGACGGGGAAAAATGATAAGGAATTTGTTGCTTTGCCTGAATGATTCTGGTAGGGCCATGTCTCTTACAAGATGAATACCCCACCTTACAGCTGTCACAAAGTCATCTGAACCACAGCCTCTTCCTGAGAGAGACGACATTTTGTTTCAAAATTAGTTACCACTTCTCCATTAAAAAAGAAACTTTGACACACACACAAAAAGATAGCCAGACATGGTGTGCCCCATCATAAAAGAACACACGAACACACACACACACACACACACACACACACACACACACATCTAAATCAAGCTCCTAGAGTCTACGGCTAATGTATAGAAAATATGACAGGAGAATGTTAAACAGCGATGCAATCAGCAAGATTCTGACCGTGGGAAACTACAGGTTCTTTAAAAAGAGAAAAAAAGAGGGGAAACCTATAGATTAAAAGAGGCGTAAATGACATATCAAACAACTGGAATGCATTGACCTTACTTTGATACTGATTCAAATGGTGAAACGTTTTTAAAAAATTGATAAAATTTAAACATCGTTTGGATATGTGGCAATATTAAATTACTGTGAATTGCTTTAGTGTGATAATAGTATTATACTATGGTTATAGTGTTTTTTTAAGTTCATACCTTTTAAAGACTCATATGGGGGGAGACCTCACTAAACAAAACAAACCAATAAATATGGTCTAGTTATCCCTCAAATCTGTGGGTGATTGGTTCCAGACCCCCTTGGATATAGGATACTCAAGTCCCTTATATAAAATGGCACAGTATGTGCATATAACCTACACATATCTTCCGATATACATTAACTTATCCCTAGATTACTTATAATCCTAGTATAATGCTATGTAAATAGTTTTACTGTATTGTTTAGGGAGTAGTGACAAGAAATATGTCTGTACATGTTCAGTCAGTACAGACACAACCATCGTAGGCCTAACTACATAGAACATATCAGCAACTACATAATTTTTCTCCAAATATTTTAAATCTTCAGTTGGTTGAAACCACAGATGCAAACCCCATGTATATGAAGGGCCAACCGTATATGCAATTAACCATACAATGTTATACCATCAGTCAAAAGAATGAGTTCATGTGTTAATGAGTTCTTAATGTGTTAATATGAATTGATCTCCAAGATGTACAATTAAATGCAAAAACACCAGGTATGGGAGGGGGAGTGTATGTATAATACACATATCATATATGTTTCTTTGGATATGCATAAAATATGTTTAGAAAGACACCAAGAAATGATTATATTGTAGGAGAGTAAATGGGAGTCTAAGGGAAAAGTTTGGGAGGAAATGTTTTCATTAAAATACCCACCCCCACCCTGGGGTGGC